GGGGCCATTACCCAGCATAGGCTTAAACTGGAAACCGGGTCCAGCGTCCCATCCACTCCCATTCCTAAGAGATCTTCCAAAAGTCTCATTCTTTTTTGTGTTTTCTTTGTTTTTGTATTTCATTTTTTTTTTTCAGTTTTCGTTCGAAATACCATTTGTGTCATTGTGACAGTACCGGGGCCCGGCCTTCAAGCAGCGACCGGGCCTTCCCTTGGCCGACCCCCCTAAGGCTGCGGCGTGTCTACGGGAAGGCCCGCGGCTGATAGCTGGGCCAGGTACAGAGGAGGAGGGGAAACAATATCTCCTTACTTTTTCGGGTAATACATGTAAAATAAATACTGACTGTGGGATCACGAGGGCTGCACGGCAGGATTCGGCTCACTCAACTGCCACACAAACTCTTTTCTATCCTATCCAGTTGCTAGTGGGACCATGGTCCAGGGGTCTAGTCCCACCTACAACGTTCAATTTTCTCAACGCTGAGCTTTCTATCACGTGTGGCATGGTGAGACGGAGCTCTGCCGTTGATGTATTGCGAATCTAACGGTACCAAAATACAGGAGAACAACCTATTAGATTTAGTCATTTTGTAGAATTTTTCTTTGACGTGAAATCTGTTTTGTAGTATGCGTTGGCCCTTTTGGTTTGGGCGGGAAGCCATTTTCCATTGAGAAAACTACCCTACCGAGGGTAGGGTAGAGCTTTTTATTTCTGAATGCCGAGCCGGGCTCATAAGCGAAACTGGCTGAGGCTGCCAGGATAACCCCGAGTTGAATTGTGAGGTCCCCGACCTCATCCCATTATTTTGATTGGCAATAAATTTCAATGCTTTCCAAAAAAAAAAAAAAAAAAAAAAAACATTTCTCAACTGCAGTGCCTTTCCTTTTTTTTGTTTTTTTAGACCCCATTGCATCCTGAAACGGAGGAACTCTGACAGCTGTGTTTCGCTGTCTGGCATCAAACTCGTTTCCTTCTTTGGGCAATGAATGCATTTGGCCATCCACGTCGTCCCTGTCCATTTTACAAATGGTGACCTCCAGTCCCCTCACCACGGGGAGTATACCTTTTTCACGGAGACGTTCACTCCGACTGTTCCAGACATGTTTCATTTCTCCGAGCCACGTTATAAAAAATAAGGAGAAAAGTTGTTTCTAGCATTTTTTTCAGTTTTTGTATTTATTGTTTCGAATTTATTAATGTCGAAATGGCCAGACCCCAGGTGCCAGTGGTGACTGCTTTTATCAGCGTCACTATCACTGGCGGGGGTCTTTGTCCAAAAAAAA